TTACTTATTTTCGACTAAACATCTCTATTATCATCATCATCATCACCTTTACGTCCGAAATACACGGGCTCAGGCCTTTCTTATATATTTATTTATTTGCAACATACTACTATCATTACAGGTTTCCCTAATGCGATAGCGTAGACATAGACTTTCACTTATAACATAAAACATATAATACTGCAGGTACGAATTAGTTCAATGAACAACAAAATAAATCTATAGACTTTGCAGTCTCGTTTAAACAACGTAACGTTCGTTGTATAGGTGCCTCTCTTAATATGTTTGTGCGTGTATATGGTAATGCGAACAGAGGCGGCTGTCGACGCCGCCACACATATCGGTTTGGAACGTACAACCCTACTGACTCTAACACTATATGGTTAAAAATTCGACCACGCAATATTTTAAATATGTACGTATGGTTAAGAAGGATGGGCCATGACCCTCCACGCTGTCTCAATGCGGCTTGGAGAATATTACCGACTGCGAGTGCAGGAGCAATGGCTTAACGTGTTTTCCGAAAGACGGAATAGATCGAGGTAATATTTTATTTTTGGTCACCAATCTCGTGATCGGCCCTTGCGAAAGTTGCTTAACAACAACGGGACGCGGCGCTTATCCTCTATACGCTATCTAGCTACGCTCTATAGTGAAAAAAGAATAATCTTAAATGGTTGTTTGTCATCATTAATATAGTTGTTAATAAGTATTTGAAATCATTTCCGTAGAGACAAAAACTGATATAACAATTTAATTGTTTAAAGTAAATTATTACTCAAATATATTTTCGAAGTTTTTTTTGGTAATTTTTTTTTTCTATATTTAATCAATGATATTTCAAAAAGGCCACTACGAACTTACGACTATTTAAGAGATAGCATTTTATTTGTTTAGACCAGTAGCTCAACATAGAAGCTAAAAAAGTATCATTAAACATTTTATGAAATTTTTCTTTACAATTTTGGGTTTAATTAATAAGTAAAGCACAATTAACAAAATGCGAAATCGGTACAAATTATGCCAATAATTATTCTGTACTATTTAATAAGTCAAAATTATAAATATCCTTTTGATTCCGAGATCAAGAACACCAAAATTGACTATTTAAAGCAAAAATCACTGTTAAGATATAATAGGGTCCATAAAAAATACTAGTCGTTATTAGTGATAATTTTGTTGTATCTCTAACTAAATTAACAAAAACCTTTTCTTTTTATCTGTATGTATACACTGTGGTATAAAAATCACAGAAGTTCACTTGTCATCTTTTATCTTTACAAAATTGAAAACACACTTTGACAATTTTAATTTTAGCCTGGTTCGTGCCATCACTAACTTTAGTACAAATTTGTCTTTAAAAACTATAGTTTAGTTTTAGTTAAAACGAAAAATATTTGTTTATTTTATAGTATCGACTTTAGTTTTCGTTAAGATTTTATAAAGCACCTAAAAACACAATAGAACGAACTTCACAGCTTTATTGTTGTCTCTTTTACACGTTTATAAAAAGGAAAAGACAATGATGCAACTATATGAAAAATATTTTATAGATTGCGTTGTAAATTGTGCTACAAATAATAAAAGAAGGATAAAACCATTATTATGCATAAGATCATAGAATATGGTAATTGCCGTAACATTGTACACTGGTTTTCCTATTTGATACAAACTCGTCTACACGTTCCATCTTGCTTGTGGATATGCCTAGAACGTATTGTATTGAGTGTTGAATTGAAGCACGACGAGAGTGTAGAAGAGGCTTTATAAGTACTTGAATAATTTACACTAATTTGACTGTATTGCCGTTTTTAATTCATTATTTTCTCCGCTAGAGGCGCTACTATGAAATGTATGGTAACATCCTATCCTATTAATATTATAAATGTGAAAGTGTCTTTGTTTGGATGTTTGTCGGTCAATCACGCCGAAACTACTGAACGGATTTTGATGAAATTTGGTATACAGATAGGGTATTAGCTGACTTAGATAATAGGATACTTTTTATCTCACTAAACATTTCCCTAGGGTCCACGCGGGCGAAGCCGCTGGCGAAAGCTAGTTGGTTATTCCAAATCCATTTCCAAAAAGTATAAAAACTTGTACTATAGATACAGATCGTAATCATTGTTTTATATTGAATATGTGTGTGTATATTAAAAATAAATTTATAGATTATTGTTATAAATTTTATGATCGTTATTGTTTTAGGTACCAATCGAGGCGGCTCATCTATATGATGCTGTGACACTTTGGGCGAGAGCAGCCACTGCCGCCATGAGGTCTGGTCTGCAGCCGACCGACGGTGCATCCCTCATGAAGCTACTGAAGCCGACCACCTACCGTTCCGTGCAGGGATTTGACGTGAGTCTCTTCATCAATCATCATCACTAGCCTAATAATATCCCCACTGCTATGCAGCCTATGGTCGAGCTTTGCTTAACTTTGAAAAACCACTCCGACATATCTAAAACGAGATCTTCACGCCCTATCCCTTGCAGGGTAAGCAGAGAGGAGTAGTACGAGGGTCAAACTGAAAGTTCTTAGAACTGGCCACTTATAAACAATATAATAAAAAAATAATTCTAAAATTTAAAAATATAACTCTTTGCCAATATTACTGAGTATATATTTCATTCATTTGTCATTTGTTTTACGATTTGGCGGCAAATTGAAAATTGCCTGTGTCACGTCATCATGAATTTAACACGAGAAAATTTTCGTGCAATGATTTTTTATGACTTTCGATGTCATTTAAGTCAACAAGAAAGTTATGATAGACTACGATTGGCCTTTCACGATGAAGCCCCATCTCGTGCGACTGTTTACAACTGGTTTAATGAGTTTAAACGTGGTCGCACTAATCTCACTGATGATTTACGTGAGGGACGGCCTTCTACGGCGACGACTGAAGATAACATCTGTGTTGTGCGGCGTATGATAGAGACTGACAAAAGAGTGACCTATCAACAGATTCGGACAAGCTTAGGCATCGGTATGAGTCAAGTGCACAAAATCCTCCACGAACATTTAGCGGTCAGGAAGCTTTGCGCCCGGTGGATACCTCATAATTTGACTGAGGCTCAAAAACTCCATCGTGTGGATTGGTGTCGTAAAATGATTGAAAGATTTAACGGAGGTGACTCAAATGCTGTGTTCGACATACTAACAGGTGACGAAAGCTGGATTTACTGTTATGATCCTAAAACCAAAAGACAATCTGCTCAGTGGGTGTTTCCTTTCGAGGAGTTGCCAACTAAAGTGAAGAGAGATCGAAGTGCGGGAAAAAAAATGGTGGCCTCGTTCTTTGGAAGGATAGGTCATTTTGCAACAATTGTGTTAGAGGATCAAAAAACAGTTTCTGCAGAATGGTACACTACCAATTGTTTGCCACTTGTCTTGGAAAAAGTTCGAGAGAAACGACCTCGCAGTAGGATCCTCCTTCACCACGACAACGCCTCGTCGCACACCGCCAAGCGAACGATCGACTATTTGGCGACATCAAACGTTGAATTACTGGGTCACCCGCCGTATAGCCCCGACCTCGCGCCTTGTGATTTTTATTTATTTCCAAAAATTAAAGAAAAACTTAAAGGAAAGCGGTTTATGAATGCTGAAGAAGCGGTGGCTGCGTATCGCGATGCCATTGAAGAGACCCCTAAGGACGAGTGGGCAAAGTGCTTTTCCCAGTGGTTCCATCGCATGCAGCGGTGTATTGACGTGAATGGACAATATTTTGAAAAGATATAATAAAACTAATAACTGGCTAATGTAATCAGTTTTTGATTTTCTAAGAACTTTCAGTTTGACCCTCGTAGTAGTATATTATTAACATATTCTTGAGGATGAATGGTTTTACCATTTCTGATGTCTCAGCATTGATTCTCGGCCGGGCCAATGTAGAAAATAAACTTTTTGATATTGCCTCTTACTCTAGATTATACCGTCGTTGTAGATTCCCATATCACAAGTAAATTTTTAGTTTTTAATTATTTTAATGTAATTATTCTAATTAATTATATTTAATTATTCTTTACTGCTGTTTTACTGCTTATCTATCGATGAAAATAGAAAAAAGGTTTTAATGTGACAAACTGAAGGATTTATGGATAAACAGATAGACAGACAGCTAAATGATTCTGGAAGGATTCAGTTTTTTTCTTTTAAAGATACGTTATAATAAATTTGATTGTTTGTTCGTTTGCTTTCAATATACTTCAAAATACAAGCCTTTTTTCAGCTACGGGAAGCTAGATTATGTTCCGGTGACTTAGGAGTCCCGGGAAGATAGCTATTTGATAATTTGTCTTGCTACATAAAAATTGTATAATTTCATTCATATTGAATGTACCTCAATTGAACAAATTCCACCTCACTTATCCCTCTTCATTTCTGTGATAAAATAATAAATATTCATTTCGCGTATTTCAACTCGGATTCACGGTTCCGCGGCATAAATCATATTTATTTATATTCAGCTAACATTTCCACTGCTAGCCATAACGTAAGGCTGATACCAAATTATTTCTTTAGTGACTTACTCTTCACAGAACAGTTGTAGTTTTATGATGATGCATTTAACAATGGAAGGGTTTTTAATGGTGTCAAACAAGAAAGTGAAGCACCCGGCTTTCTACTTGCCCTTGAACAATACTTTCTAAGGAGTTTTGATTAATATAAATGTATCCAAATATTTGAGGATTCTTATTTGTACAGTCAACTACAATATCTACTTGATTCAAGTCTTTTAGTTCAGTTAGTTTTTTAGTCATAAGTCGAAACGCTGCATTTGCAATAACTGGAAAATTGGAATATTTGGCAACTTATATACCCTAGTTGGTATTTTCAAAATTATTTGTGCCCTACTCACAAATAGTAGCATAGTCAACAAATATAGTAGGCAATAAATCTCACAACCTCTACCAACTTCTACTCTTGGCGTGTTTCAATACTCCGCAGACACAATAAAACAAAATTTGGTTATCTGCAAACAGGTGAACATGGACAGTGCCGGTGATGCCGAGGGTAACTTCACTGTTATAGGCCTCGTCGCTGACGAGACAGCTCCTGGTGGCTGGAGTGCACGGCCGGTTGCCACATTTCGATACGCCAATTCGTCAGATCTACTACCGGTAATGATAATTCACTTGCTTATTAAGAGTGAATGATTACTACCCCATAAAATTTTGCCTTTTTTGGATTTACAAATCAACTTAGCCTCTACTTCCAACGGTTGTTCTGACTCTGCGAGTGATTAGTATCCGAAGTGATAAACCCCGAAAGGGGTTCGGGCCTGAGAAATGTTTTATTTTTCAATTTAAAATGTTGAATATTCAAAAGTCTTTCAGCTCTGTATAATTATCAAGTGAAACTGAAACAAATTTAAGCGAATACAATACAAACTTTTTTATTTTATTTCGCTTCAACTTTTATTCTTTTTATTTTAATTAGTAATTTTTGTAAACTTAAAAAAATATTAAAAGAAATTACCTCATAATTTTATGACATAAAAAAATTAAAAAACATTCAGCAACTTTTTCAAATTAAGTAAGGAGTAGCTTCGTCATAATTTCATTTTGTTGAACTTTTATCAAACCAATACACTTATTTTACTTCTTGAAATAGGTTTTTGAATGAAAATATATATAAAAAAGAACAATATATTTATACTCCAGAAAAATGGTTAGAGTTTTTTTTTATTTGTTAGGAATTGGTCGGCGGTCATGATATAGCTTGGATTGGCGGCAAGCCACCTGTAGCGGAGCCAGCTTGCGGTTTCAGCGGATTGAAATGTTCCCTGCCCCACGACCCCGGGGTGTTGTCAGCTGTGGCCGCTGTTACTGCAGCAGCGCTACTAGCTGCAGCTCTGTTAGTCCGCCACTACAGATACGAGCAGAAACTAGCGTCAGTCTTGTGGAGGATTGAGGCGAAAGACTTGACGTATATATCAACCTGCAGTAATGATAAGGTCAGCAAAGTATCTGATGATGATGATTCTTCACCTGTCTATTTATAGCACGTGCTTCGGAAGATACGTTAAGCCGTTGGTCCCGGCTGCATTTGCAGTCGTTAATACCCTCCAATCCACATTGGGCCAATGTGGAGGATCAATTCATAGGAAAGGCCTGAGCCCCAACAGTGGAAATCGAAAAGGGCTAACGATGGTGATGATGTGTTAGGTAACCGAAAGTTTAAAAAAACGTAAAGAAGATTATAAAGACGTAAAGTTTCTATCTTTTTTATGTAGGCGGTAATCCTATGACTTATGAAATCCGATCGTGAAAATTCTTTTACCTACAGGAAGCAACATCATACGCGAGTAACATAGGCTGTAATTTACGCGAGCGAAGTCGGAGGGAAACACCTAGTAGATGATATAATAAGGTCCATTCAACCTATAATAAGAATAAGAAACATTGATCGATCTCAAAAAAATAATAAAACAAAAACGTACATTAAAAGAAATAATACACAACAACCTGTGGGTGAACGTTAACGCTTGATGTTTAAATATCGTGTTAACATTTTCCAACGTTGTGTACACATGACTGCACGTCAGACTGTACTCGTACATTATGAATTTTGTACCGGCCGCGCTTTGTATAAAACTTCTCTACTAACAGAGGTCTGCTGAAGGTGGTAGTGTGTAGCGTAACGTGCGGCCGTGCGTACTAAGTGGTATTTTTCACTGTGAAATGCATAAATTTTATATGAATCATGACATCGAAAAAGTAACCTTAATTTATAAAAATTGTGAGCATATAAGCTTGGCTATATCAAAAAAAAAAAATGATATTTTTAAACCCTTCATTTTTCTATATTTTTCCTAGATAATATGAAAACAAAGAACCGACCTCATATTTATATTTACGCTTAGTTCTGTGAGATTAATGGCACATAATCTTTCAGGCCACCATACCCCACGAGATAGATACAAAACGAGCACACACTACGGTCGCGTTGTACAGGGGTAACATCGTCGCTGTGAAAAGACTGAGAAAGAAGAGCATAGACATCACTAGGGCTATAAAAAAGGAATTAAAACAGGTAAGCTGACTATTATCAATTAAAAAACGAATCTACAAATATATAGAGAGAGATAAAGTAACGGCATAACACAAAATTGCGCTGTATCCCTTCTAAGGTAGGCAGACAGGCTCAGGGACAGCCTGAAGACCACTGTATGCCTACTGCAACCGTATCATACATTACATCAAAACAACAATTATTTTCAATTTGTTATTTTATAGTGATAAGACCGATTGTAACACGTAGCATAGTTATTATGTTTTTTATTTCTATGTAACTTTTGTATTTGGTGTATCTGTTATTTATCTGTTTATTCTTTTTTATCATTAATAATAATAATAAAAAAATTAATATGAAAAGCATATCGATAAATATTTGGCTGAAATCTTTTTCTATCGCTAAATTACGTTTTTAAAAAGAAGAATTGAATTGAGATTCATTATCACAATATCTCTAAAAATATCTTCATTCTTCTTGAGCCTGCCCAGCTTCCAATTTCACTCAATCGGGGTCGCCGTAATGCGTCTTTCTCTTCGATAATTCTCAATCAGCTGTCGGCTCAACACTCAACCCTTCCTCACCCGTGTAATCTTTACCCAATTTTCGATCTTTCCTCCGACCTTAATATAATACTGTCGTATATTATTTGTCAATTTCATCGGTATTGCATACATTGCTATCGCCATGACCTCGGCTTACTAATCTCCTAGTTGCTATGATTTTAACCCATCTACAGTGAAGAAAAAGGCGGTTTATGACTTATATGTTTTTATTCATCTATTCTTTCTAACTTCTAAACTGTTTATTACAATTTAACAGTTAAGTTTTCGATATAAACTTATTGATTGCCTTCTGATTATAAAGTAGGTAAACTTCAATTGGAATTTAAAATAGCGCCAGCTAAAGGACACAAAGTCATAAAATAAATTAAATGACCAAATAACAATCCTAATTTAATGAAAAAGCATTAAGAACTGTGAGTATCTAATGGAAGACGTGGTTTCGAAGATAAGAAGAAACAACATTCAACCTTGTAAATTGGATGGATGTACTACTAATGCATACTTACATGAAAGAGATCGGCCAACAGATGTACTTTAGATTAAAGTTTTTGTTGGCGAATTTACTTTTTTCGTTGTCATATTTTTGCTGACCTTTAGATAAGGTGTATCCTTAATAAAATGCCACCAAAGCTAAGGCTTGTCTTCTTAAATTGATACAATATATATAATTGTAGAATGTTTTGGCTATCCTGCTTTAATTTAGATAATTTTTAATATGGTAGAGTGGGACAGCATCACAAAGTTCACAATCTATATCGGTGTTACGAGTACGGCACGAGCAAAAAAAATTACACGCGCTAAAACCCGTTCAAAAGTTTCATTAAGTAAAAAAGTTTTCTTCTAATTAGACAAAATGTGATTGATAACTTTCGAAATAAAAGGTAAAGGGTTCATTTCTTTGAAACAAAAAAAAAAGTGTGAAAAAGTTGAAATTGCTGCTGAAAAATCGTCCTCTTTTGTGACTAATTGTTACACTTAACTTTTATTTAGATTGAAATATAAAACTCTTAAAATAAACTTATCAATTGTTTTAACAAAACTCTCTCTATGTCATAATATTTATTTCATTGGCATTATGCCAAATTATAACATAGAGAGTGTTTTGTTGAAATCAACTGAGCGTGTCGCTGACTTATTTATCGATTTCGCGAAAATAAAAATCAACAATCTGCCGGAAGGACAGAAAAAAAATTGCTATTATACCTAATGGTCTATATTAATTTCTTTTGAAGAATGAGTTTAGTTAATCAAAGCCCTGTTTTTAAAATACCGAATAATAAATCAAACTAGAATCTACTTAAATTAGGATATTGAGAAAAAATTAATACTAAAATAAGTTTCACCATATTTCTATACAATTTATCAAAACTCTCCACTCATTTTACTTTTATTTCTGATAGAAACAAAACGCATATCATAGACAATTTGATTAAACATTACAAAGTATTTAAAGGAGTCATACTCGTTTCCACTAAAATTAGGAGTCGCCCAAATCTGTCATCTAAATATTTAGTAATCGCCTAAGGTGAAAATATATTTCACCAATGCCTAGAAATAACCTACCGACATTAAGTAATATCTAAAATTATGTTATGCGTTATGCAGCGCCTTGTATTGCGCATTTTGTATAATATGACAGGTCACAAATGTGTCAAGAGATAAAAAAAAATGTTTACTTCAGAATCAAACTAATCTCAGGCAATTGGTTAAATTATGGATTTCCTAGTACGTTTCGCCATGTTCTAGGTTAGTGAAAACGGTTGTTAGTAACTTTAGGGGTAAGTTGCACCTTACTTGAACAATAGCAAACCTGTTAAAATACCGGTTAAGCATATAATAATGAGTCATTATTTGGCTATGGTTGGATGACGTCATAACTTTTACTGTAAACTATAACCGTTAATGTTTTACCGTGCCAAGAAAGAGGATGGTTCAACGCATTCCGTTATTCAGATGTTGTCAAATTTTACCTGGACTTAGTTTGATTTCGACATTTTTTTTTTTCGAAATTGAAACTACATTTAAAATATGTTTTAATATTTACTGATGAAATCAATAAAACCTTATAGTTTTGGCTAATCATAACTAGAGAATTACACGGTTGAAGCCTAGGAAAGATAAGCTTATAAATCATAGTCGCCTAAGCTAACACAGTAATAAGATTTTAATGTTACACTGCATTAATTTATTAAATCGCTCAATGTCAGCCACAAATCAGATTGACAAGAATTAATTTAGACCAAAATAAAAGGCGTTACATGCAATCAGGTCATTATAATAAACGTTTTTATTATTTATTTAACTAGATTTAAATTTTTAATTTAGGTTTTAAAGTTACTTGGAACTAAAAGTCATACAGGACGACCTCTAAAGGAATTATTGACTTTTGAAATCTAAAAAGATTCATTTATTCTTTTAATGACACTGATAGAAATAATGGAACGCAACCATTTAAAAAATGTTCCTTTTAAGGGTTCCGCATAAGGAACCCTTATAGTTTCGCCATGTCAGAATTAGTAGTTCTCGAACGCAGGAGCTGTTTTCCTTACCTATAACTAACAACAATGTAACTTTTAATGATAAAGATTTTCGTAGGTATAGAGCTTACAATAATATTAGTAAAGATTTGGATATTTTTTCCCGAAACTGACCCATTTTTTAGCGCACGTGTGATCTTAAAATAAATTAATAATAATTGCCTGTTTTGTCCAATATAAGTTGTATTCTTGAAGTGTTGTGCGTAGCTATAATAATAAATATAACATTTTGTATTATTGTATTGTATGGTTTGTTTTCTGTAGCTGTACCCTTTATAAATAAAATAAATGTCCGTCTGCCCGTCCGTGGTTCAGCTCAAAAATTATTGGTACTTGAAAATTTTAATATTCCATAAGTACACATGTAAATTGCGCCTTGAAAGTGAAGTAAATTTTTGAAAAAAGTTTTTTAGGGTATCTCCTCTACATGTAAGGTGGGGGTGATATTTTTTTCGTCTTCCCCATAGTGTTCCGAATCGTTAGATAGGTATTTTAAAAACATAGGGAGTGAGGAAAGGCCGTTTTTCGCTTTTATAAACCGTTTGTGACGTATTGAGCTATAAAGAACTAATTTTCCTTAGAGTCAAGTGTCAACTAAACTGTAAACTGTACTGAGAAACCCCCACTATCGACTAAACTGTCGTAAATAAATAAATTTCTACATGTAAAATGAAAATGAAATTAATGAAAGATGACGGTGGATTTCAGACTGATTTAATTTTTTTCTATGACTGAAAATGACTAATTGTATTTACCTCGAATGTTTTGTGTTCAAAGGTTCAACAACTCCATAAAAACTAACAAACGTAATTTTTTTACTTTTTTTTAATGGATAATGTTACTGAACCTTTCGTGCGCGAGTCCGACACAGTTGGCCGGTTTTTTCTCTATGGTCAACACTTTTTGTGTATAACTATTTTTTACTGGTCACATATTAGAAGTTTAATTAGAATGTACTTATACATCTTCGGATTGACTGTTAGATAATGGCTTTTTGGCATTAAATCCGCCGTTTTCTTTTTTATTAAATAAATAAATGACAAGGTTTAATCGTTTTTATTTGGAGTATTAAAATTGTTACATTACATTTTGACTTATCTTATAATCGACATCAATGATATTAATATGTTCAATTTTTAATTTTCAATACCCAAAATGTGAAGCTACTAAAACTAAGACGTTTGTCTTATTTTTTGTTTTTCATTTCAATACTCATTCAACTCCCGCCGAGAAAGTACAAAAAAATGCTCAGCAAAAACGAAGAAAAACAGTGGATAAAATACGATTCTCTTTCACAAATACACATAATACGAAAGAATATTAAATTTCACACTTAAGTCATTAACATTTTTGGCAATAAAAACAAAATTAAAGCTAGTTTATAAAATAAAAATATTTAGTTTTCACAAATAAAATTTTGACATTTTATCGTCAAAGTTGCCATTGCTATTCACTTTCAATTTTCCCAACTATATGGGAGCCTTATTTTACGTTGCTATAATTTATCTAAATATCTTCTTTTAACTAATTTTATGGCTCAGCTTTAGTATAGGCAACTGCGCTAATTGTGTTGATATTTTTTTCATACACGCACACATATGCTAAAGTGGTTTAATTTTTTGGGGTTAGTTTAATGTTTTCAAGGCGTGGAATTCGTTAGTTATCGAGATACCCTTTTGGAAATACGTAAACTGAACCTTTGATTGACGTTTTATAAACTTTGACAAATGTTTTTGTCTTAAACACTGAATTTATCGAAAAATAAAGGGATTTATATGCACAGAGCTTACTTTCGTGATTGTATTTTTTTTTAAATTTATTCAAAGAAATTTTCAAAGTTACAGTATTTTACTAATTGATTGTATACATATATCTACAATACTCGTTCATTCATTCATTCACCATAATGGGTAAAATT